CTGTGGTGTGACAGTTTTGACCTTTGCCATCAATTGCTGACCTTTCAATCCTTCCACCATCTGTTCAGTCATATTTTCACATGTCAAGGACAGCGGTCTTCTTGTTTCTCAGAGATCTTAAAAGAAAGAGGATTTAATAAAAAAAAGAGAAAATTATAGTCTTGAAATTTTAATCTATGTTAATATGTAATCTTAATTCACATTTATCCACTATATATATGTTCCATGTACAATCAGACGCTTTGAAAAACAGTGTGTTTGAGAAATCTCTAGTATAGCTGTATACATACTAGGGAATTTTGCATTCGAGACCCTTTGGATGCATTTTCAGGGTGGTGGATAAACTATTACATGTTTTGAGCTAGTAGAATTATGTTAGTAAACATTACATGGGTCAGAGAATCTACAGTAAACCCTGAAAAACTTGCTTCTAATACATCCAAGTTCCTGGAAAAAAATTAATGTCCATACTTACATATACTTTTGGTAATATTATATTTTCTTCTTAGAACCTAAAAATGTCCTCAGCCATCCTATAGAGTACAAAATATGTAGGTTTTTCACAGGGTTTTATTTTTTGTTGCACGCCACCTGCAGAAAGTGGAAACTGTTTGATGAATAGTTACTGCCTGTGAAAACCCAGTCCCACCCACTCACAGCTGTGTTTGTGGTGTTACATGTTATGTTCACGTTATGTTTTCTTTTCTTGGATTGGATTCAGATTTTGAAGGTGACACCACATTTTTGACACTACGGAAGACACAGTTACAGAGTTAGATTTCTGAAAAATACAGTCGTGAAAATTGTTTCATGGTAAATTTTGGAGCTCTGTTTCTGTTGGTCTAGAAAATGTCAGAATGCCACATTTAACTACATACAGTGCATAAGATATTTTGCATTTTTTTCTAAAATGTTACTACTTCAGATACTTGAAAAATTTGGTTAGTGTTTTTGGAGAAGTGTAGTTGTTTTTGTCCCGAATAGAAGAAATTTTGTCTCAATAGAAAGACTACAGATTTGTAAACAAGTTGCTACAATTTATGCAAAGTCACGTATAACATACAAAGTATAGCAGTAAGTAATGTGTTTCTTTCAACACAGGATAGAAAATGTTTGGCACTTTCAAAAAATGATGACCATGTTTTCTTCATCTTTCATATGATTGATGACACCATATCAGTTTCTGGTGCTGATATCTCTCCGAGTTCTTCAAGTTCCTAGATTTCCAACCACATTTGCAGTTTTTGACAGCTCAGGAAATCTGAGAGTGACCCCCGTAGCTAAATATCAAATATTACCAACATGTCAGAAATACTTGTGGGCACTCTGCTTCTATCAATCATTGAATAAGGCTGCAACAATTCAACATATCGGTCTGTGCATTCCTATATTATGTGTGTGACTTGAAATATACCGACTAGCAACTTGCAGGTCGCAGAAAAAAATTTAGGTCAAACTATTAGTAGGGGCCAGGAAATATATATTCCATACTATATAAATGGTTTATTCACAAATTAACACAAACCTATAACAACATTGCAGCCTAATAATACAATGTAAAAAATTAAATCCAGCTCTATGAATTACATTTTAGGGTAATAGCAGATACTATAAAACCTAAATTTGTTGTGTAAGTTCACATAGTTTTGTACATGTGTATGTAGTTGACAATTCTTCATACAGAATCATTATGTATGTATGGGGTTCTTTGTATTTTGAGCAAAACAGTTAAGTGATTAACAAACTTTTAACCTAAAAAAAGCTGTTGATTTCTCAAACCACCAAATGTATTTGCTGTGGCACAAATATTTCTGGAGGTCAAGGTTAGTGCAGAGTGCATCTCAGCTCACTGCCAATCTCAGAATATGTCAGACCATTTATCAAAACCAGATCCTCAGAGTCAATGGTAGTGGGTCTTCTGGTACTGACTTTGGAGGGCCTACATGCTTCTTTTCTTGCATAAGCAGTCATTTTATTTTATCCAAATCACCCATGTACATATGATATAACCGTTCTTATTCAAAAAGTGTAGTTTGCAATTCTCTCTGATGCATAAGAATGATTTTGAAGTTAGCAAAAAGTGTAGTCAACCTCCCATTTTTACCATAAACTGTTCTCTTAAGACCCCCATACAGACCCACATGCAGCCATACAGAAGCAAAAACATTGTGAAGATTCCACAGATAGATTTCAAGATTTGCATCCAAATCTCTCCCAACATTGACTCACTTGAGCCAAGATCTAACACTAACAAGAACACAACATTTTCAATTCTCCTTTTGCAAAAGCATGAAACACTGGTAGAAGCATACTGACATAAGTGGTCATTATGGCTAAGGCTTAATTCTTGCCTTAGGGCTGATTGTATGTAACAGTGTAATCATTTGTATTGAAGATACTTGAATTGAAGATATTGAAGATTGTGAAAGGGAATGTGGGTTCTCTGTACAACTTGTGATTGGTGATTGTCTCAGTTTTGGTATTTGCGGGTTAGACTTTTGCTTGTAAGAGGAAGACAACATTTATTTCTAGAATGGATGTACTTTTCTTGTCTTAAGTTCATGATAATTTAGGGTATTTTTTTAGAATGCTTGTAAGAACAGCAAAATGGCTGTTTCAAGTGTTCGGGTCTGTGGTGGTATGCAGAAAAAATTGTTAGAGAGAAAATTGCGGGTTTGACCACATAATTACATACATTACCCTCAGCCTTTCATCCTACCAAGAACATGACACAAAAGTGTGTTGTTCTACTGAGGCCAGGGATTGTGGGCATAATTGTCAAGCTATGTGTCAGCTACCAGATGGCTTAAACTTAACATTGTACAGATTCAAGTACAAAGAATAGCAAAAGACAACAATTTTCAATGTTGTTACTCAAGAAATCGAGAGCTGAATAGACCCAAATGTAGTGCCACGATGTCACTGTGATTGTAGTGTACATTGTATATCTTTAGTCTAGACTATTCTATCATGAAAGTTTAGGGGGTACAGTAAAAAATATTTTTAGACCACCCCTCGATCCTTACGGTTGCTTCAACTATAGGCTAATTATTTTATTGCTGCATTAAGTCAGAGGGGAATGGTTTTTTAATGTCATTTTTTGGTGATTCCAGTTTAGCTTCTCTTACCATGGAGATTCTTATTGTAGATAAGGTAGATTACTAGAGTGTCTGTTGGTCATTTAAAAATTCTTTGGTTAGTACGTTTGTATGTAAAATGTTCTAAAAGTCTATACCATAAAATTAAGGAAAGGAGAATTTGGGTCTCTTTTCTTTAGTCCCATAATGTTCTGTCAAAGATACAGTCTACGCAAACTTGGAAGATATACTTACATGTACTGTACCTGTACCATGTATGTATTGTATTTTATGTCCTACCTGGGCCGCGATTACGTTCGATACGGGTGTTCCGGCCCGTGTGATAACTAGCGGTACGGCCCGGGGGTTCTTAACGCGTACAGCCCGGGCCTTCCAAATGTTCCATAGAACGATTCGAACGCGTTTCGCCCTAACCGCGTGCAACGCTTTTGAAAATTCGAATGCAAACTTCGGACGCTGGAATTGATGTTGTTGCGCTTTTTGGGTTTAGGGACACCAAATTTCGCTCATTTCGCAATGAAAGGCGTGTTTTCGTAGGTGGGTATGACATAAATAAAATACAACACGGGGTATTCCGTATCGCCCGAGGTATCAGCCCGACCGCAGATCGGATCTCCCTCCGGCCTTCGGCCGTCGGGCGATCCGACGAGCGGTCGGGCTGATACCTCGGGCGATACGGAATACCCCGTGTTGTATTCTATATGTATTATTAGCTTTGTTTGGGCATTGCTCAGTAGTACAATAGAAGTTGATTTTTGTTTGACCAGACAGGGGCAAGTTCTACTGGGTCATTGCCAAATCTGTCTGTTTTTATCTGAATACAGTCTACACTGAAGAGTATAACATTTGGCCCATTGCCCAGATGTCTGTTGGTAACAGATGATGGTGAATTATCTCACCTCCTCCATCTAACCCTGGGTGTCAGGAGAGCAGACCTGTGCCACTATCTGTACCATCTATCACAACACTTACATGTACTTAACTTGATTAGACCACTCCTGTCAGCACCAAGAACTATGCAGAAAGACCTTTAGGACATCTAAGTTTCTTTCTGAAATGCAGTAGTTCTTTTTTCAGTCAGTATTTTGCACCTTTGACACTACTGTCAGCCAAAAGTTACATGTACTTCATTTGATTTTTTAAGATCATTCATTTATTACGTGTCAGACAAAGACCTCTATCTGTAGCAAGACTTTTGAGCCCTTTTAAATTATTTTGTGTTATAAATGCAGTTATTTGTTTTTCAAATCTATATTTTGGAACTTTGAGTGTTGATCATAACATTATACATGTATGTCAATGTACTTCACTTAAAAGGTTATTCCATGATACCTATACGGGGTCCCGCATGCCATTTTCCTTAGAGCGTAATCGGCCATTTTGATTCTACGTAGAGTGTAGACGGATTGCTCTAATGCAACGTAGAGCATAGTTGGCGCAATTTGAGTTTTAATTTTACGTAATGCGTTGTAGCCACTTGGAATTTATTTTAAAGCATTATCGGTACTGTAGTGTGATACGGATCTCAAAATTTAGAGTAAAGCGTTGTTGATACCCCCCCATGCAGGGCCTCATATACTTTCACTCAGCCTAAGTCTTTTAAGCCTTTCGATGCACTTTAAAAGAGCAACTTAACCAGAGCCACATGTGGGAAAATTGTGTTACACATACATTTGTACATGTATCTTATCAAAACCATCAACAGGTCTAGAGTAGCAATTAACACAGTTTCTGTGGCAGGAGCAAGTGTTTTATTAGATTACACAAGATCCACTTCTCAAGAATCTAATTAAAGACACAGGAGCATCTCGTGAGAATTAGTCTTTCAGTCAACAACTGGAAGTCTCAAGTCTTCATTGGAAATGACTGACTTGTCTTCATTCCTTTTGTGTCTTTCTTCAGGTCCTTCAAGGTCGTTAGGGTCACTGTTGAAGGCCAAGAAGCCTCAAGGAGACGTGGACATCATGAGTTACGCCAAGGACAACTTTAACAGGTGAGCTGGGACAGAGGGAAGGATTGAATGGTTACATGAATGAGTAGTAGTAAATGGTTTATTGATAATACACAGAAAAAAGCCGGCTTTGCAGTAAAATCTGTTTAGCAGAGACCTTATAAAGAAATTGTGGTTAACTGAATTTGTAAATGAATATACAAAATATATGATCCAGTTAGTGCATGAAACTATTAATGAACGAAAAACCGACTATGTTGTCCTTGTTTTGTTGCCAGATATTTACAGTTAGGCGTAGGAAAAATAATGTTGTGTTTCCTGTTTCCCAACCGACCCTAGAAAAGCTCCATGATTGTACAATCACAGAGCAAGAAATTGTCAATCAGCTTGAAAAATTTATGGCCCTAGCTTGCCATTGACATTGAAAATAGAAGTGTCCTCATACAAGTTTTACTTTATTAAACAGTGTTGTATAAGTTGGATCACAAGAGATTGCCAAAGTCGTAAGAAAATGATCATCCCTACCTATACCAACCCTAATTTTTTTTCAGGAAACACAAACATTTTTTTCCTAGGAATATTGTAGCTTCATTGGTAAATGAGCACACTAACAACATGTACATGTTCTCCCCTGTTGTAGGCATAAAAAAGGCCTGTTTAGGAAGCCTGTCTCCATAGCGACCATGTTGACGTGGACGAAGGACCCCATCAAGAAGCCAATGATCATGACTCGAGACAAGACGGTCAAGAAGGAGGCTGTGGAAGTCTTCAGGCTTATACAGGTCAGGACTTCAACATTCTCATTCTTATTTCTTAAAGTGTGTCACAGTCAAGCCCAGGGTTCTATCTAGTGTCTGCTTTTTCGTCATTTGACGGAATATTGTCGCTCATGACAGACAAATTTTTTCCCATTCCATCATATTTGTTGGACAAAAAGCCGGGCATGTAAACTGTTAAGATATGGACAGAGCTTCAAGCTGTCACACACATATATAGCCAAGTATGGCCTCCTAAACACTGCCAAACTCCCCCAACCATGGTTGGTAGTTCGAAGCAAGGTTTGCTGTGGTTGGCTGGCCACGGTGTTTGGCAAGGTTGGCTACTGTTCGGCTGCACCAGGCAAATGTTTCAAAATGTGTTAAACATTTGGGTATTCACAGGATCATTGTTGGCTCATGTTTGGGACTTGGTCATCAGCAGTGGTCTAGGCATTTTTGAGGGCCAAATTTGACTCAAATTTAACTAAAACTTGATTTGATTCATATAGATTCATGTAGGTGTTACCTAAGTCTGGTCAGACTGCACCTGAACTTCAGCCAACTTTGGTAGCCTGGACGGATCATAAACTACATGTATTATCTACATAAGAAGCAATAATACAAACAAAACACCAATACAGATTTGTATCCAAGTACACGTAGATTTGTTTTACTACTGGTATGTATAAAACAAAATAAAGCTTTCACCTTAAAAGTACCGTCCAGTTAGTAGTCATTCCTTTTGCCATTAGATTTTCATGTCTGACCGTACGGTGAAGAAAGTTGACCAGATGAGCGTTGCTCTGGACATCACGACACGCGGCTGGACCATCCAGGGCCTGCGGGACGAAGTGTACATCCAGGTCATCCGACAGACATCCGACAACAAGAAAATGTACGCTAAATGTCAAAGTTATTGTTGTAACATTATTTACTCTAATACTACAGAGCTTCTTTTTTAAATTCTGATGGCGGTGTTTGTATGTGTTTCTGTTTGTAGTGAGTTTAACTTAAAGTATTTGTAGATTGACAAGGAAGCTGTTACTCAAGCAACTGGACAGATTTTGAAACTGTCAGATGTTTCAGACCTTTCAGGTAGCATCCATTTGTAGATGGATTTCTAGAAAATTTTTTGTCCAGGACCTGTAAGGGATGTAAAAGAAAAATCTATCACAGATTAAGCAAAACTTATGGATCGATTCGTTGCACTCTTTATTTGTGCGATGAAACTGTATGCACTGTAGAAAGTGTCTGTTGATGTTAGAAGTCAGAAAATAGCTTCTTGTAAAGCGATAGCGGCTTGACAAACGTTGTGTTCCTCCCCTATGCACAGTGAGAGTCTACAGAAAGGCTGGGAGTTGATGGCCATCTGTTTGGCCTTCTTCCCTCCCACTGCAAAGTTCCAGTCCTACCTAGAGGGATACATCTACAGGTGCAGAAGTTTATCTATTTCTTTTTTTTTTTCTTCTTTTTTTCTTTTTTGTTTGGCTGAATAAGGCTGCTCAACAAGTATGTTGCTTATTATAAAGTGTGCCAAAGTTTCATTGTAATAGTTATACATGTACATTTTCATGTTCATCCAGCAAATATTGGATTTAACTTTTTTTTCTGTTTTGAGGTGAAATGATAAAGTTATCTGACCATGCACATGAAACCATTCTGCTGTCTTTCTTCATAAAATGTGTTAGCTCTTTATATCATTACTAGCAACTCCTGGGATTCTAAAAATTGTTCTGGAAGGTAAGATACACAATCTTGTTGACAAAATGTCAAAAGAGGCCGTTTGAGAATCTGACGCGTGTTTTTCCATCCCTTAGGTTCTTGGAGACTGAGACAGACGATGACCTCCAGGGTTTCCCTCGTAGTCTGTATGCACAGCACTGCTACAAACAACTGGACAGGATATGTAAGACAGGTGGGACAATTTGGAGTCTTCACTGTGTATCACTGACTCTGTTTTACCATTCATTTTGTGAAGCCATGCATTATACATATTAGACAATGTGAAAGCCTAAAAGCCAGAAATTCCACCAATGCTGATGATTGTAAAATCGTTTCTCATTCCATACTACATGGCATTGATCAGTCTCATAGTTTGTTGTTATATTGCCGTAGATGGTATATGTTATACCTTATACAATTGTTGTGCAGTAAAGTATATTATGAAAGTCGTGTGAGAGGAAAACATATTTTGTCAGGACATTCTTGTTCTTATGAGCTGTTGACATGGAACCAAAACAGTGGTACAGAAAGATACACAATAAAAAAAAAGTCACAAAGTATTTGAATATAGATGTAAAGGACTTGAATTTTTTTAAACACAAATACAATAGGAAGACATGCAATAAACCGTAATTTCTCTGTGGTTTTTCTTGGAGATGCAGGTAGAACAAAAACAAAAATCATGACAGTCTTAAGACTTCAGGGTGTAATTATAAGGACTATATGTTGTTTGGTCATCTTTCTTACATTCCTTCCCTTTTCCGTAAAGGCGCGAGAAAAGGCCTGAAGAAGCCTACAATAGATGAAGTTGCCCAGGCGAAACACAACATCTTCCACCCCTCCATGTTTGGTAACACCCTGGATGACATCATGAACATGCAGAAGCAGCGGTATCCGGAACGGCGGTTGCCATGGATACAGACTACACTGTCCAATGAGGTGCTGAGGCTGGGTGGGGAGAGGACCGAGGGTATCTTTAGGGTTCCTGGGGATATTGATGAGGTAATTACAGTTTTTTTTATATGAGGGTGTTTCTGGGGTTCCTGGGGATATTGTTTAGGTAATTACGTCTCTGCTGGCATGGTGGTCCCAGGTATTGGTGACACAAACTGTTGAATTGTTTCTTTCAGCGTGGACGGTCTGAGCCATACTTAGCATAATTGTAGCATGTGTAGGCCCTTCTTGTGTTGGTCCTTCTTTGAAGTACTGCAAAATGACAGAACATGTCATAGTTGCCATAAAACTTTTTAAAAAAATGAGCCCCAAAAAACTTTATATATACCCAAAAAGCTACACAGTGAAACATATTTGACTGTCCAGCAAAGACAGCTTGCCCAGAGCATTTTAACCCCATAACAAATTTTTCTAGTGTTACTCCTTTTTCATTGTTAGCAAAGCCTTTCTCTTTAGTTGTAACTGAACTAACTCACTTTATATACATGTAGCTGTTTGTTTGTTTGTTTGTTTGTTTGTTTCTTTGTTTGTTTGTTACTTGTCTCAAAGATAAATGGTGTTTATCTTTCCGTCCTCTCTTCATCAGGTCAACGCCCTGAAGGTCCAGATGGACAAGTGGGATCTCCCTACAGAGATCCTGGACCCCCACGTGCCGGGCTCCCTCCTCAAGCTGTGGTACCGCGAGCTGTACGAACCTCTCATCCCGCCTAACTACTACCGACGCTGCGTCGACAGTTACGACAACCCGGAGGCCGCCATCGCCGTCATCCAGTCGCTACCCGAAATCAACCGCCTCGTCCTCTGCTACCTACTCAACTTCCTCCAGGTCTTCGCAAGGTCAGAGAACTCCAAGGTCACCAAGATGGACGCCAGCAACCTGGCGATGGTGATGGCGCCCAACTGTCTACGATGCGAGTCGGATGACCCGCGGGAGATCTTCGAGAACACGCGGAAGGAAATGTCGTTTATTCGCACGCTGCTCTTAAACATGGACACGGAATTCATAACTGGAGTTGTGTAGCAGAAACTACTTCTATTTCTTCAAGTATACTTACATCCATTCTAGAGTTTCTACTGTCTATTCTATCTCAAGAAAAAAACATACAGATTTTCTTGATCAACTGTCACATGCCAGTAAAAGCTTTAACCCTCTCCCTGCTGCCGAACCTTGTAATCAGTACAAACTTGGTGCTAAAATGCGACTGCAGCAGGGACAAGGTTAAAGCTGTTTAAACTTATTAAAAACTTGATCCATTCTAGAATTTCCACTGCCAATTCTATCTCAACATGTAGCATACACTGTCAATTTTTCATGATAAAACTGTCATCAATTTACACTTATGTAAAGAAAACAGTATTGGAGTGCTGGATAACATGAGGGGAATGTTGTGAAGATAATTTTTAGAGGAAAAACAGTTCTGACCAAGTCTTTCAACCATCATTAGCTGCCGGAATTAGCTTGTGACAGAAGCGCCTCCTGTTGGCGGTTAGCTGTACTGCAGCTCCATGGCCTTTGATTGCATAAATGCTACTAAAAATGCACTGCAGTAAACACTTTGCCTTAGCAATCTTGAAGCTGCTTTCTAAGCTGGCACTTACTGCACTTGCTGCTTTAATAGCCACATTGACAACACAGGATGGACTATGTACATGTATGTATGTTCTTCCTTGTGGCTTCTTGTAACCAAAGTAAGCCAGCACTTACACTTATGCACTTAACACCAAAGGAAAGCAATACTTTTACTAAACTTAACCAAAGGAAAGCAATCACTCTAAACACAGCAACGTAACCACAGTAAGGATGTAGTGTCACATTCAGTTCCAATTCTAACAGTATTCACATTTTTTCATAAAACTAAAGAAACCTTACAGGTGTGTGTTTCATGCAAAACTCTTAGCTGTTAATCTTGTCTTTACCTCTCGTCTTTACCATTTTTAAGTAGCATGAATGTCTCAAGAATTATACTGTCCTATCCTTTCAAACATGGCTGCTGGATATCAATTTTCCTGTCTTGAAAATTATACACAGCAAATGAATTCATGCATGGAGAATTACAGATATTTTTGTATGGATGTATGGAAATACACAAATGATACTGACACGAGATACAACTTCGGGGAGAACACAAAAAGCAATTATAGAATTTAGGACTTAAAAAACACTGTCAACGCTACAACTTTGCTAGAACTACTGTCAGATTTCTGCTTTTACCAAAGCTTTAGCTGTAAAGTCAAACTGTGCTTGATGTCGTACTTACTATCAATGAAGAAATGAAATTAATGTTACTGATACCATTTTTCATAAAGGCTACTTTCTGTCAAGATGGAATATTTATGTAAATAGATACTTGATTTGACTACATGTACTAGAAGAGTTTATGATTAAGAGGTGATTATAGTAGAAGATATTTTACTGTAAGACAGTTCATTAAGATTTGGTGTGATGATGGAAGTTTTTGAGGGTATGGAATTGTATATTTAAGAAAATTAGTTGGGTGTGTGGCAAGAGTTGCTGAAAAACTCAAACTGTGAGAGAGTATGGATCGACTTGCAACTTTGCTTTTTTGGTTGTTAAGATGTGGCTAGTTGTAAATTTTGGAGTGAAGGATTTGTTGTTTCATCGAATGGAGTGTAGAATTATACAAAAGAATGTATGACTACAGTTAAAGTGTAGAAGGGTTATTTTACAATCCTACACAAAATATCTGTTCATGGCAACTTACAACACAATTTTGGTGTCATTTTTTCATATCATGGTAAAGATTTGTTTCTTGTTTAGTAGAGAAAATGATTGAGGAATTTTTGTGGATAGATTTTGAATAAGGAAATCATTAGAACATTAAAATGTGTTCCTAGACTTGTAAATAAACAATGTTTTTATTAATTTTTTTAAAATCTGAATAATTCACATATCGCTTGATGGTATCCATTGGTTTGTAACAATGTACAAAGGCTGTGAACTCTGACCCAGAGGTCAGGGGTTAAAGGTGAAGGATTTGTAATTTTTTGAAGCCAAAATGGCCCTCTTGACTTAACATATACTAGATCTCATTTTGTACAATGTTTAAAGGTTTGTTCCACAGAAACAATGGGTGAAATTTGAAGCAAGACGACAAGAAAGGTATGGTTTTATTTGCACACATAAAAAAAAAAGCATCAGTGTTACTATATAAAATTATCATATCCTTGTCTTGCCCCCTGTGGTGACTTTTGGAACGTCCCTTGATAACACTCAAGGTCATCATGTAACAATCAAGGTCAACATCATCTTTGCTGCTGGTCTCCATGGAGATACAAACTGGCTAACATTTCAAACTAAACTGGCTAAACTCATGTACAGTAGTCTGGTATCTGGCCCTGTCTTAGTTCCAATTCATGCGGTTACATATACAGTCATACTAAGGCAGGGATGGATACCAAACAGAAACTCACGCTGTCATTATATGTTGTACATCATGTTCAGTTACTGAGTAAGATTTACCTCTGGAATTGTAATAATAATATTAATGATGATGATTTCAATTGAATCATATAATTTTTCACAAGTAACTGTCAATACGCTAAGACTTGTTTAGACCTCAATTGGAATATGCCAGGAAATGTCTTCATACATTACTAATAGACCCATTCGACTTTCACGGATGGCATAAACTGCTTACGTCACAGGGGGGGCATTTTGAATAGAAATTACGTCACAGGGGGGACATTTCGAAAGTTCCTTTCACGGATTGCATAAACTGCATACGTCACAGAACAAAATAACCTTAAATTGTTGTACGGAATGCCACCATACAAAGTTGGTGCCTGTTTTCCTGTCATTTCCGCATATATTACCGAGAAAATAGACACTCATCTACCTTTTATTTAAAAAAATTATCTGCCAGGGGGGACACCGCGAGCGCAAGCCGCGTTCGACTTCAGTGTTCTAGAACGACGTTCTTTCGAAATGTCCCCCCTGTGACGTAAGCAGTTTATGCGATCCGTGAAAGTCGAAGGGGTGTATTAACCTATAACTGTCATTTTAGTAACATTACTGTACACTGTACATTGCCATTCTATGTATGGCACAGATGCACATTATAGTAGCCAATCAGGCATTGATTAATATACTGTCAAGGCCATGGATTGGTTCAGGGTAAGCAGAGTTTAAATAACGGAGGCTATGATTGGCTGATAGAAGTAGGAGCAAAGTGAACATTTATTTTTGAGATAACTATATGGTGTGGTTGTGGGAACGTAAAAGAGAAATAGGAATTAAATGAGGTTCAATCAGAAATTATGTGTTGGGAGAAAGATTATGCCTAAGTAACTTGTATTGTGGTGGATTTTACAACTTTTCACTTGTGATAGCTCTGTTGTAACAAAATTGGTGTAACTGCATCTGAAAGAAAAATGTCTTCTGGAGAAAAACTTCTATTGACAAAACATCCACCGCAATAGCTGCTAGTGTAAAATTTTGTGCCTTTTCACCAGCAATGTAGTGTGGTACAGACGAATTGTCAACGGTTTTGTCGTAAAAGTGATATATGTCTTCCATTTCATAAGGCTATTGTTTCCATGATGCATATACATGTACCTGTACAATTTAGGATGCTAGCTGCAGCGCCACCTATATGTTTGTGCCAGTACTACAGTCTGACATGACCAATATCATTTATTGAGGTGGAGAGGTAGACAATAACTTGAATTTTGTGAATCCATCAATACAATACTTATGGAATCTTAACAGCATTTTTACTGATTGTGAATGTTCCAAAAGTGTTCAAAAGATAACATTATCTTTACCGAAAGAAGTTCAGAACGAACACTTTTAATTTGGAGAACATGAATGGATGCTAGCAGATTTTTCAGTATAATCTTTGAGAAGTCTTTTACAAAAAAATCTGTGCAACCTTTTGAACACTCATTCATCTCATTGGAATATTCTATGATATTACTATGGGAACTGAACATTTGACAGCAAAGATCTCTACATGTTTTTAATAATCTTCATGTGTAGTTGATTAGATTTTTAGTCTTGATTTCTTTCTTAGGACTATTCCATTGGAACAATTACCTGGGGAATCATGAAATTTCTTTCAAAATGAAAATCTTTTCGAGAACAATTTATTACAAGGGGGAGTAGCGAAAGAGAGCAAATGGTGTCACTTGGACACCCCCATCAGTTATAGAATGGAATAGTCCAGAAGATGACAAGGAACATTTCTCTCAATTGTTGTACTGTAAATATGAGTGTACATGTTGACTTCTGGCCTCTGATGTATGGTGGGACTGGGGAATCATACTGTAATTAAAGGATTGGAATATATTTTTCACACAACAAACTTTCTTCTGTCTTTCCTTTGTTGTTCTTGCCTGTCTGAGTGTAAGAAAATCAATCGATGCTACAGTATGGTTATGTTGTGTGTGCAAGAAGCTTCAAAATTCTGTGTGTGTGTGTGTGTGTGTGTGTGTGTGTGTGTGTGTGTGTGTGTGTGTGTGTGTGTGTGTCTGTAAACACGATAACTTGAGAATGCTACATTGCAATACATGGAACTGAAGGTGAGTTCAGCACCAAGGAGAGGTCCACACTTGGGGCCCGCCCACTTAACAAGTGGGGGGGGGGCGACATCCACAAGTTTGAGGATATAAACACTTGCTGTGACAGAAGGTATCCTGATCGTTGAGTTTGACACAGAAAACAAGACCGAAATTGTGCGGCGAGAATAATTACTTTTGATTGGTGGCAGAACGGTGATGGTTAATTATCAAGAGCAATAATGATTAATTTCGTTCGCACCCCTATGTAATTAGCACATATGGTACAGTCCGTTCTACCAGCTGCAGCATGGAGCTGTGTGGCACGTTGTCGTGCGGCGTGTAGTGCGTGAATTCTCTCCAGCGTTTTGGGGTAAATTTTCGGCTTTCTGTCCGCATATTATCCGTCTAAAGTGTATGGTATATCGTTTGAACGTTTCCAGGTCGGATTTATGCCGTTCTTTGGATGTTTGACGGAGAAAAGTCGTATTTCCTAGCAGGGCAAAGCTTGGACAAGAAACGGTTACTATCATGGCGGCGTGGAGCACATGGCATGGTGGTGCTGAGAAGACTCGTTCTTGCGAGGTAAGGCAACAAACTACTAGTATTTCCTTGAATTGTACTTCCAACAAACCTGTAGTAACAGACCACGTTATGTTAACTAGGAGCTAGGAGCAAATTTCGCAGCTAAAAACGGTTACAAACACGTTTTGTTTTCTTGGAAATTTACACCTTTTGGAACGTACCGCACGTGTGCATAATTAAACCCACTCAACGTTCCCGCCAAAAAGGTCGCGCAAAAATACTTGAGCATAACATTATTTTCTTCAGAGTCCCCAAAATTAAGCCTGTGCACAAATTAAAACAGTTTTACTGGATTTTATACTTCATAATTTTTATTGCCAAATTGTATCTGTTAATAGTGTTATTGGTATATAATTGTGATTTGGTTGCACTGAATTGATTTTGAGGATGAACTGTGCAATCCCAAATATTTTCTTAGATTTTGGTATGTTAAAATGTTAAATGTATAATTGTATACAGCATATTCTTAACATCTAAGTGTCAGATAAATAATAATGATTAAAAATTATTGTTGACTTGTAGTACTTTTCTTTAGAAATGAAACTTACTTAGTTTTTGCTGCTATTCTACTTATTTCATTATATGGTCACCCAAGAATTTTTTGTTCACCCAATTTTTTAGATGGGTGCACAGGGCACCTGTTCTCAAAAATGCATTAGATAAGGTTGCTTCGACTAAGTCTAAATCTATAGTTGGTAAGATTTGTTCGTTATTATGGAAGTTTCTGCAATATATGACAAGCTGATAATATCTTAAAATTATTTGTTCTTTTCATAGAATACTGTAGTTAACTGTGCTCTGAGGGTCAGCAACCTGTGCAGGTGTTGGAATGATTTGAATACCCTAGATCACTATCAGGTGAGAAAAATTTGCATTCTGCATTCAACCTACTATTTACTTCATGTTATCTGAGACAAGTGTGTAACAAGTAACTAACAACTAATGTCTGTATAGTTAGGTGGCTGCTGACTGAACCGGGCAAGAGAAGATTGGACCAGTGCAGACCTGGGGATCAATGAATATCAGGTGAGAAAAATCTGAATTCTGCATTTTACCTACTGTTTACTTGGTGGTATTTGAGACAAGTGTGTAACTTCTGATGTTTGTATAGTTAGATATGGTTGCTGACTGATGCAGTAGTGAGGACTCCTGTCTGAACCTGACAACAGTGGATTGGACCAGACCAGGTGACTTGAAGATCCAAGAGGAATATCAGGTAAGAAAAATTCTGCATTTTGCCTACCATTTGCTTAATACTGTATTACAAGTGTGTAACTTATGTTTCTATTGTTAGGTGGCTGCTGACTGATGCAGCAGTGACGGTGATTCCTGTCTAAATCTCAGTGACCAGTTTTAAGACCCAAGAGGAATATCGGTGAGAACTTGAAAACTAAATTGTACCAGTAGTAGTTTTCTTTTTGAGACAAGAATGTAACATTTTAATGTCTATGTAGCTAGGTGACTGCTGACTGATGCAGTTGACTGCAGTGATGATTCTAAACCCGACAAGACCAGATGTTCGTGTTCTGAGAAACCTGGTGACCGGCAACTTCTCTCCAGTCCAGACCAGCAAATAAGATGACCTGAAGACAGTGAGTTTGTACAGGTGAGACAATGGTCATCAATTTACAAGTTATATTTTTCTAAGGCATTTCACAATTTTGAGGCATGTCGCAATAGATAACAACTTTCTAGAGCCTAGGATTTTGTACTTCTATTCAACAAAAGGGATTGCCCAATTGTGCAATTTTATCACTTAGTCTATCTTTAATGGTCATTCAGTGTTGCATCACAATAACCATCTGTTCATATCGGTAGGTGTGTCCTGAGTGTCAGCCATCCTGATATTCCTGTCCTGACTGGGAGAAACCTGTGATGACCGGCGACTCCTGTCAAAACCAGACCAGATGAGGGCTGAGAAGACTGGTTGACTTGAAGACTGGTGGAATGAAGAGATTTTACAGGTGAGACAATGCTTTAAGACTTAAAAAGCAGTTTACCTTATAGACTTGTTTCTTTCAAGATAAAAAGTTTTGGATCAGAAGAAAGTCTGCCTTTTCACAATGTTTATGTAACGTCACCCCAGTGAAAAAAACAGTTGTGTTGTAGGCAGTTTAATTATAATATCCTTAGTCTAGTTCTTACTAAAGGTGAATTGCTCCAATATACACTGACCAGGGCTTGAAATACTGGGTGCATGTGCACCTTAGTGCACCCAAATTTGGAGCTGTGCACCCAATTTTTTTCTGTGGGTGCACTCACTGGTGCACCTAAATATTCTTGTAGGTATTTTTGTACATATTAAATGTATAATAGTATACAGGATATTCTTGGCATCTAAGTGTCAGAAAAATTATATAACCTTTGCTGTGGTACTTCAAGATTTTGAAGTTAGCAGTTAGTAGTTTAAGATTTTGAAGTTAGCTCCCATTTTAGATTCAAGCTCAAAAGAGGAGCAGTAAGATCTGTAATTAAGTTTTGTTTTATATGATGCACCCAAAAAATTTTCTGTGCA